AGAAAGAAAGAAAGAAAGAAAGAAAGAAAGAAAGAAAGAAAGAAAGAGGAAGAAAAAACTTAAATGGACTAAATACACCCTGCCCCTGCATAGCCCAACATAGTAGAGCCTCTTCTCTCTGAAGAGAAATCTATGTCAGACTTAGTGGTGTGTGTTAATTCCAGGTGGTCAGTGCCTGAAGAACATTATTTAATTTAGTTCATGTACACCACCTGGCTCAAACCACCATGCTCAGCTTTAGAATGGTTCATCTAACGACTACCTAAAAGTAATTTTAGTTTCCTTGGGTCTGATCCATACCAAGAAATAATTTCAGTTTGAGAAAAATCTTGACTCTTCCAAAAGGAAAACACAAAGTCCACTGTTGAGTCTTGACAATGTACATTTTACAGACAGTTATATTCCTTAAGTGCCTGAAGAAAGGCTCACTGATACTTCCTAATTAAGGAACCAACCAAAAACCTCAAGAACATCACCTCATTCTTACCTGTTCATAGAGATCAATAAGGGTTTTGTCTGGCAATTTCAGAGACTGTATAGCCTGTAAAACAGTATCCCAATGGCCACTGTTAATATCAGCCACGAAACTTTCAATGCTGTCCACAGTATTCAGAGAGACAGTAGTTTCCTCCTGTAAGGTGGCCAGCGCCCGATGTAAACTGTTCTCCTTCAAGTATTGCATGATTAAACGAATCACACTGAAAGAAAGTCAGTCATTTAGTCTGGAGATCGAAAGGACATTGGTAGCCATTATTATTCTGATTACTAGATCTACTGGACATTTGTGTGAGATACTTCAAACCTATAATAGTTACTGATTTTTCTTCTTATTAAATCATCTGACTAGGCAGTAGTGGCACACTGCCTTAATCTCAGGGTTCAGGAAGCAGAGGCAGGTGGATCTCTGAGGCCAGCCTGGTCTACAGAGCAAGTTCCAAGACAGCAAAGGCTACACAAAGAAACCCTGCCTCAAAAAAAATATTAATTAATTAACAAATTAAATCATTAAATTGCTGTAAGAAAATTTGGTCCATTAAAAAAAAAATGACAACAAGAAGAATGAAGGTGGTACACGCCTTGAGTCTCAGCATTCTGGAAGCAGAGACAAGAGAGGAAGGTTGATCTCTGAGTTCAAGGCCAGCCTGGTCTACAGAGTGAGTTCCGGGACAGCCAGGGTGACACAAAGAAACCCTGGCTCAAAACATTAACAAAGTAATGCTAACAGTAACAATATGAATATGCACAGTTATTCCTCATATAGAAGGGTATTCGATGGTCAAAGACTGGTCGTTAAGGCTATTATTAGACCCCAAAGTAAAAAATCCTTTGCAGTTCCTGCCCTGACTTAAGTTATACCTTCCAACATTGTCTGTCACTGTTTTATTTTTCTATACACTGAGCATCTGTTACTGTTCATATTTTACTTACTGTTTTTGTCTACTGTCTGCCTTCCTCAATCAAAACATATATCCATTTAAAGATGATTTATAAAGCTGGATGTTTAGCGGTACACATCTTTAATCCCAGCACTCTGAAGGCAGAGAGGCTGGTGGATCTCTGTGAGTTTGAGGCCCACACAGAGAAACACAGAGAAACCTTGTCTCAAAAACAAAACAAACAAAAACCCAGAAAAAAGTGACTTGCTTATAACTGAAAGTTAGAAACATGTATCTTGCTATGAAGAGGCCCAGGCTGGACTCTAGGCCTTCCTAACCTTCCTCTTCAGTGCGGCGATTACAGACATGCATACTTCCGTCTTAAAAATACACAGGTTTCAGACTCAGCCGACTTAATAGACTTTGCTTTTCTGCAGATCTTCAGAACAGACCTATCTCTCGCTTGCACTCAGAACACACCTCTTTGCTAATTTAATTTTACTTTTCAGAAAGTAAAAGGCGGTGGGTGGAGTCCTGGGGAGTCCAAGAAAGACTCTTCAGTCAGTCACTCCTCGCCCACCTGGCTCCTCGAAGTCCCCACCTTCGCTAAGTATCATTCTTCTGACCCAATATTCAAATCCTCTGAATCCACACAAGAGGTTCTCTATCTTCGAGTTGCAAACCAAAACAAGACACCATGACTGGGTCTGATCAGATTGGAGAAGCAGCTGAGCCTTTAAGGTAACTAGTGCTTAGACCAGGAGGGAGAGGCAGACTGGGGGACTGGCGGCACACCGGCAGCGCCGAGGGAGGGGTGGCTGGCAGAGGAAAACACAGCAGTCAGGATTGCTCCGTGTGCCCCTGCAGAGCCCCACGCCGGGGCCCATGGGCTCCAGGCTGCCCGCCCCATGGCTGTTTTCTTGCGGGCCCACCAAAGAGGGAGCCAACCCGGAAAGTGCTTCGAGGCCGCAGCCTCCGTCGCGCAGCCCCCTCCGATGTCCTCCCGAGCACCCTCCACCCTACGCCACGCCACGCCGCGAACACGCCACGGCAGGACTCACTCGGAAGACTCGATTTCGATCGACATAGCGGTAACGCTTCGAGTCCAGGCCCCACTCAGCACAGAGCCGGTCGCACAACACCGCGCGACACTTCCGGCGGCCGCGCTGCGTTACTTCCGCTCCGCTAGGGTCTAAAGGAAGAATGGATCCGCCCAGGAGGGCGGTGCATGAGATGTGGATCCTCGGGTGTTTGTCGCAAGTTCGTATGGGGCTGGCGAGACCGCTCCGAAAGCACAGGGACCTGCAGTTGAGCCTGGCCACCTGAGGTGGAGGCGAAAGGGTGGCATGATTGCGAATGCCTATCGGTTTCGCGAACACGTGGCATCTTTCTATAGCCTTGGCTGTCCCGCCTTCCTCCGCCTCCCTAGCGCTAGAATTAAAGGTGTGCGCTATCACGTTCAGCTCTAGTTAAGAATTAAGTTGAAAAAGCTTCAGTTACGGAAAAAGAAATGTAACCAAGCCGGGCAGTGTGGCACACCCCTTTAATTCCAGCACTTGGGAGGCAGAGGCAGGCGGATTTCTGAGTTCGAGGCCAGCCTGGTCTACAGAATGAGTTCCAGGACAGCCAGGGCTATACAGAGAAACCCCGTCTCGAAAAACCAAAAGAGAAAAAAAAGAAATGTAACCAAATGCAAAGTTATAACAGATTTGAGACTCTTTTCAATATAGACTTAAAATCATACCTTACTGGCATGACATGACATAGTTGAGGACATAGCTCACTTATTGAATGCTTACCTAGCAAGTAAGAGGCCCTGGTTAAATCCCCACTTATTAAAAAAAAAAAAGTATTGATGAATTTTATAAATAAAGGCTAGGGAGAAGGTGGGATGGACATGCAGTCCATAGTTGGCTTCAAACATAATGTAGTTGAAGATGCCTCTACTTTCCAAGGGCTAGAATTACAGATGTACATCACTGCGCCTATCTCCAATATTGACAAAGTACATATATTTACATATATATATATATCACAGTGGCAAGTCTATCTTGTGAAATTACATATTGAGATAACTTAGGGGTTTCTAATGGCTCCCTTGTCTGCTACACAGACGTCCACCCAACTTCTTTACAGTCTCCTTTTCCCCCCAGTGTTGGGCATCAAAGCCAGAGCCTTTCAATAGAGCCTCTTCTATGATGTTTTCTTTTTTATTTGATTTGTTGTGTTGTGTTTGTTTTTCGACACAGGATTTCTCTGTTTAGCCCTGGCTGTCCTAGAACTTGTTCTGTAAGCCAGGCTGGACTTGCTGCTTGCCTCTGCTTCCTGAGTGCTGGGATTTAAAGTGTGCACTACCATGCCTTGGGAAATTTTTAAAAAGAGTCATTTGAAACTAAGTAGAGAAAAATGACATGTGTTACTTTTACAATGAACTAGATCTTCTAAGGTGTTCTGATTAAAGGGGTGTACCACCATGCCCACCTCTCTTTCAGTTTTTAAATCAACTACTTCCCATCAACTCTAAAGAACACAGTCTCAGCCAGGCAATAGTGGCACACACCCTTAATGCTAGCACTGGGGAGGAAGAGGCAGGATGTTCTGTGAGTACAAGGCCAGCCTGGTCTACAAAGTGAGTTTCAGGACAGCCAGAGCTACACAAAGAAACTCTATCTCAATAATAAGTATAATGACTTCTGAGATAGTCCCATTCTGAGCACAAAATAGGTCTGTCTTCCTTCCTTCCTTCCTTCCTTTCTTTCTTCCTTTCTTCCTTTGTTTCTTTCTTTTTGTTTTGTTTTCTGTGATTGGGTTTCTCTGTAGCATGCCTGTCCTAGAATGAGTTGATTCTCTCCTTCCACCATGTGAAAGATTATTGAAGGGAATATTACAAAATATTTGGAGGTCCTTGAGCCAAATACTACTGAGAACATACTGCAGAAATCCCTATGAGAAACAGTTCCAACAGACAAGCTGGATGGTGCAGGCCTCTAATCCCAGGTACTCAGGAAGTGAGGGTAGAAGATCAGAAACTCAAAGCCTTCCCAGGTTACAAGGAATTCAAAGGCAACTTAGTGAATATCTGTCTAAAAATACAAGGTGGGAGAGGAATGGGGATGTAGCTGGTAAAACTTGCCTAGCATGTGGGAGGTCCTAGGGTCAATCCTCAGTACTTACTACAGAAACAAAGTAATTCCAAACAATGAATCATAGTCGCTTAATTTTTCATTTACTTTAACCTTAGGAGGATCTTTTAGAAAAGAAAATCTCTATGATAATGTTGTAGGAGTCTCTCTGGAATAAGCATTCCGACACCAGTGAGAGTGAAAGATAGGAGATGGATTCATTCACCAAAGCCAGGATAGATCCTCAACGATTCAGAGCCGGTTGCACTTTTGTTTTATACTCTAAAACCACAAGGTGGGGCAAGTGAGCAAACAAGCAAAGGGACATTGGCTGGGGAGCTTAGGGTTTTAAAAGTGTTGCAGTTGACTGACTGGTGTAAGCTTTTGTGGTCAGGTTGCTAAGGACAATGACTATTGTTAATCTTTTCTGCCTTATTCTACTTCACTCCCTCTTCTTATGAATCTGTCTTGAAAAAACTGGTTGGCACTCCTGGAATATCGTCAGTAGGTTTATTACTCTCGTCCTAGCTTTGATGAACCTAGACAGGGTGTTCAAGACGCAAAGCCCGAATATAAGTCTTCTAACATCATCAAATTAACAGAGACAACCAGAGTTCCCCATGTTGTCCAGATTGTACTCCATTTGCTCCCCTTTGTACCTCTAGCCTTAATCCTTTTCAATAAGTCTTTGACATTCTCTTGTGCTATTTTTTTGACTGATTAGTATAGTAGAAAGCTGGCAATCTTGAACTTGTTGGATGCCTATTGCAGTGGCACAGGTGGTCATGGACCCTGTCAGGGCCGTTCCTAGCAGGACTGGTAAAAATATAGGAGTTCTCTTATTTCTTTTTTTTTTTCTTTTTTGTTTTTGTTTTTCGAGACACGGTTTCTCTATGTAGCCCTGTCTGTCCTGGAACTCACTCTGTAGACCAGGCTGGTCTCGAACTCAGAAATCCACCTGCCTCTGCCTCCCAAGTGCTGGGAAAGGCGTGCACTACCACTGCCCAGCCTTTTTTTTTTTTTTTTTTACATTTAATTTT